CCCCCCCCCAATTCCTGTAAGGGTGTCACAGGGACAGGAACATATTCCATAGCGGGAGAACTTCTCACTCTCCGGGGACAACCACTCCCCCCCCCCCAATTCCTGTAAGGGTGTCACAGGGACAGGAACATATTCCATAGCGAGAGAACTTCTCACTCTCCGGGGACAACCACTCCCCCCCCCAATTCCTGTAAGGGTGTCACAGGGACAGGTAGTGAGAGGAAAGGTCACCCCCCAGAGATGAAAGCCTGACTGAACTCGTCCACAACCCGAAGTCAGCCGGAGCCGGTCTTCAGTGTTGGGTCCCGTCTGCACCTTGTCAGGTACGTCCTCGCTAGACGTGTCCCGCGGCTCCGGCCGGGTGACATTTCTTCTCTGTTGTCACAATAAACAATTCCTGATCAGATAATTCCGTGTCTCTGAACACGTACAGCGATACGCCCCCCCCGGTGGCCATTTCAGGGTAAGGCCTGTATGAGCCAGAAGGATCAAAGAGTCCATGTTACATACATAGTTACATAGTATTTGGGGTTGAATAAAGACATACGTCCATCAAGTCCAACCTATATAGGTCCGCGCATCATCTCATTCTTAGGGATACTGGTACCCCGGACATTACGGTCCCTCAAGAAATTGTCCAAACGTTTCTTGAACAAATCTACACTCTTGGCTGAGATGACGGCCGGTGGCAGCGAGTTCCAGACCCTAACCGCTCTGACTGTGAAGAACCCTCTTTGCCCCTTGTGCTGGAATATTTTCTCCACCAACTTTAGGTGGCATCCTTTATTATGCCCTCTAGCATTTTACAAACTACCGATGTTAGACTGACCGGCCTATAGTTCCCAGGTTGGCACCTATAGAGGCCCACCAAACAGATGGTGGATAGGGCTTGACATGACTCCATTGGGGGGAGGGCTTGACGTGACTCCATTGGGGGAGGGCTTGACATGACTCCATTGGGGGAGGGAGTCACTAAAATGCATCCACTTGTAACTCCTGACCATGTAGGACCCTAGACCAGGGGCACTCCCTCTGCATCCAAATCTTGGACATCGCCCCCATCTACTTTATATGATTGGAGCCACTTCCGCATGGAACCATTCCATCCCCGGGGCAAATTCTTCATTTTTCATGTTCACATCGGCAATTGTAACCAGAAAATGAACTACAGGAACCAGCATGCTTCTCAGTTACCATCATACTGGACCCCGGGACTGTCCTCGTTGGTCCCCGTCACCTGCCCTATTCAGGGCATAGTAATGGGAGCTGTGCAGAGTGGCCCCTGAGCACCTTGTACTCTCCAGCTCCGTCGCTCCTTCGAGCTTGGAACGTGTGGTGACCCCGTTCATCATGGGACAGCGCTGAAGCCTACTACTTGGCCCCAGCGCTGCATCCTGGGAGGAGGTCACATGGCCCCCATAACACAGAAGCAGTAGGGAAGAATGGGAGAGGTAAATATAAAGTAATTGGGCGGGGGGTGGGCTACACGCAGAAGGGCCAAGTTGACCTTTGTAATATAATGCTCTGGGCAGTCAAGGGGCCCCAGTACCCGGTGTAGGAAAGATGCTGGACGCATGCCCAACGTGCAGGGCATCCCAGGTCCACAGCAGGATGACGCAGACCACTCACAGTAGTAGTATTTCTCCCAGCCTGTAGGCAAGCCACGACGGGCCTCCAGGTGCTGCATTCAAATTAACCTCCCCGTTAACTGGGGCCTCTTGACAACACAAAGCCTCCAGAGGACATGCCTTCTAGCCCTCAGGGGTGGAGTTAGTCTCCTGCAAGGGCCACCCACTGCAGACCTCATTCCCGTTACTGGTGTCACCAGAGCCAGTTCCTTGTATGTTCCTACAGTCTGGCAATGTATGGGGTGTTGCTGGGGGGGGTGTATCTGCCCAATGGGGTCCTCAAGGTATCACACAGGCTGACAAGGACCCAAACCAGAAAAATCTAGGTCCACTCTTCATATGTTCTCAGACAGAACACGCCAAGTGACCATACAAAAGGTCCTGTTTGAACATGTGTGTGACTGGGGGAATGCGCAGGCAGGACGGGGTCCGTTGAGCTCTTGGACTCCGATCCACCATCTTTACCTGCGCACACAACTCAAAGAAAGAAGAGCACTTCGCGGAGGGTGGAACAAATCTTTTTATTTCTCGGTCACATGTACAGGGAAGGGGCGTGCTCCTGATCCAGCAGGGCGCACATTATGTAAAATGGTGACGGCCAACCCCACCCCCAAAAGCAGACACTTCCAGGACAGGTGGACTGAACGGCTCCACAAGGTTCCTTCCAGAGCTTCTGACTTTAGGCTGGTGGTGGGTAGAGCCAGGAACTGGAGGTTCCTCGGAAGGTTCCAGAAGCCAGCAGGAGGACTCAACTTTTCGTTATCCACCTGAAACGGAAATCTCAGCTTTGGGGAAAAGGAAGCGGTCAGTGATACCTACATTGAAGACTGGCATATGAAGAGGTCCTCTCAACCCGATATGTGAAGGTCTTACTTGGTCCCACACTGAAGATAGGACTCGCCCCCTCCCTACACTACAATGAAACCTACATAGAGATGGTCAGAGAGCATTATGGGATGAGCCTGACCACGGACCTGGAACCGACATCTGCTGTGTTTGGTGGACACCAGGCCAGGTGGAGGAGGTACTGGGATCTTGAAGCTCCTTCGTCTGCCAGTCTGTAATGTATGTGCCAATGACAGGTTCACTTTCCACAGGGAAATCGTACAAAATGCCATCACGGAGCCCTGGAAACGCAGCTCAGGATCCAGGGCGACCGCGAGGTGCGGCCAGCACAATCACCGTCCATAAAACGGACTCGAGTGGCGTTGCCCCTTGTTGCTCGCCTCAGCCTGGAGACCCTCTACGTCATGCTCAGTATTCCTCAGCCATGATCAGGACGACCAAGGAGCTCCACCCAGTGAACGGGTGACACCCCTGTCCAAAACCCGTTTTGTCGCTATACTGCTCCCAGAGGAAGCCCGTCTCCTTATACTGCCTGTACAGGTTGGCAATGAGGTTGATCCGGAGCTCGCGGTACACACCGGTGGCCCTCTGCCGATGCGGGCCCTCCAGCCGGCTGTAGTGGTGCAGGGCCCTCACCGCCAAGTAGTTCATGTTGATCCATATGGGTCCCCTCCAGTAGGGCGGGTCGTGTTCCGTGTTGCGCTTCATGTACATAGGGCTGCCCTTGGACAAGGAGCGGATGCCGTACGGTGTCCAGAGTTTGTCGGGGTCCCTGAGCTGCTCCAGGACGCGGCCCAGTTTGGGGGAGTCCGGGGACAGGATCTGCAGGAGGAACGGGAAAAGGGACACGTAGCCCAGAGCACCGACATACTGTAATTTCGGGACCTTCTTCACGGCCCGTATCAGCCTCGGGGGAGGGACGCTGCGCGGATCCTGCCCAGGGAACGGCTGCGTCCGCTCCCACTCCAGTACCGTGTTCTGTGTGTGGTTTCCGTAATCAGCGTAACCGCCGAGCTGCTCGAACCAGTGGAGCCGATCCAAGAGAGAGTTGTCGGAGAGCACCGAGTGCGACTCCTTGTACCGGCCGCCATCTTCCCCCAGCAGGTCGCAGATGTCCGCCATTACTTCCGACGCCAAAGCCATCCAGCACCTCAGGTCCACGTGACGCTCGTCATCCGAGGGGTGAGAGGCCCGCGGGTAATCGTCCAGGCCCGACGTCAGCGTTTTCGGGTTCAGAAACTGCATGGTGTCCCTGTCCCGGCCGCGCCACCGGTAGGTGTATGGAAGGGGACCGGCCTGCGTTTCGTTGAACCAGTTGTACCAGGTCTGAAGTCGAGGAAGCGCACGCCGAAGAACCTGGAGGCCTTCAGTTGGAATATTTCTGCCCGCCAGAAGCTGACGCAGGGCCAGGAACAGGGTGGGGGGGTTGGCATTTTCGTCCCGCTGAACCACAAACTCGGAGGGCACTTTACTGCGAGCCTCGGGCCCGAGGATCTGCTCCCGAGGGATCCAGCCATCGGCGTTCATTAGATCCAACCAGTGACCCAGGGACTGCCAGGCCAGAGACGGGTTCCAGCGAGCAATCAGCAGCAAGTGGAACCCCTCGTCTCACAGGAAGCCGCGAGGGAAGAAAGAGCGAGAAGGGACTGCGGTGAAGAGGGGAGCCAACGCATAAGCCACGGGTTCAGGATTGTACCGGGACTGGACCAACGAGCTTCCGTAGAAGTAACCCATCCCACCCACCATGTTGGAGAGGGCGGCCTGAGCGAAGGCCACCTGCTCCGGGATGAAGCCCTTCTCCTCCAGCCGGAACATCTGCTGAAATCGCTCAGCCATGTCCTTCTTGTGCCGTTCCAGCTCGCCGCTCAGCGCCCGTCCGGACAGGTGCACCGAGCGCTCCAGGAAACTGTCCGACTCAAACAGGATCTCGGCCTGGAAGGGGAGGGCCATGGTTATCTGGTGGATGATGATCTTGGAGTGGTCGGAGCCCGGCTGAGGGGGAGGGTTGTAGACGTCCACCCCGAAGTAACGTCTCTTGTTGGCGCCGGAACCTCCGGACGGGTGGCTGAAGCGGTCCGTCAGGCTGCCGCGTACGACGTCGGTGATGTGGTGGAGCCCCGGGCACGCCGTCACCAAGTGGTTGTAGCTGTGGAGAGAGAAGAAGAAGATCAGAGGACTTCCAGGAACACTTCATAAGAGATGTTCTGACAAATTCATTGGAATTAGGAACATTTCATTGTACACATTATACACACAGTGGCCCTAAAGTGGTCCGTCACCTTGGTGTATGAATTGTTCAGCCGCCACTCCCCCCCCCAATGTTCCTTGTACAGGCCCAGGACTGGCATTGACCATTGTCTATAGGTGGACCAAATGTGAGATCAGCACACTTCCAGCATCTGATCTCCCCTATGGTCCCTGAACCTGGAAGCGCCGAGGATTTTTATCACTTCAGGATCTCCTTCCTCTGGACGCAGGTGTGGCAGAAGAAGCTCACTTTATGCAGACTTGCACTTTTGAACACCTGGCGGCCCTTTAAGGGTGTGTTGACGCCAAGGTGTCGGAGGCGAGCTTCCTGATCACGTGATCGGCTGTCAGAGCGGTCACATGATCGAGAGGCTTCCGGATCGCAAACTGGTACCACTATGCGGTCTGCAGCGATCTACAAAGCGGGCCAGTATAACAAGGAAGGGATCTGGGATTCCTTTCGTTGGCTGGCCGGGGTCACCCGGGATGGGACAGGACTTCTGCAGGGGCTGCTTAGTTCCAGCGCTTTGTGATCTCTTCCCCCCAGATGTCACATGGGTGCAGTACATGGGCATCACTTAGGACACTGAACCTGCTGATATGGGGAACCAAAAAATCACATCAGCTAGATGTCAACACAAAGGCGGGAATTCACTGGCTGTGGGTGACCCAAATGGAGGGTTTGGGGGAGGGGTCCCTTAAGTAGATTTTAGTCACATGACACATTGATATCAATTTTTTCAGCAAAGTTGACTGGGAAAAAAAGAATGGCAGGGCAGAGGACCATCACCTTGTTTTGGAATTAACAATGCAGGGAGTGGCCATGAGGGTGGAGAAGTGTTATTAGAACCCCATGGGGGCGGGGCCCTGGAGGATATGCAATACTGAAAAGCACTAGTCACATGATCTGGCGGTTACAGGCAGGCTCCCAAGACTATTTCTGCAGTCTCCTCCTCCGGAGCTCCCAGGACTACTTCCAGGGTCTCCTCCTCTGCAGCTCCCAGGACTACTTCCGGAGTCTCATCCTCTGCAGCTCCCTGCACTACTTCCGGGGTCTCCGCCTCCTCTGGAGCTCCCTGGACTACTTCCGGGGTCTCCGCCTCCTCTGGACTACTTCCGGGGTCTCCTCCTCTGCAGCTCCCAGGACTACTTCCGGAGTCTCCTCCGGGGCTCCCAGGACCACTTCTGGAGTCTCATCCTCTGCAGCTCCCTGCACTACTTCCGGGGTATCCTCCTCCTCTGGAGCTCCTTGGACTACTTCCGGAGTCTCCTCCTCCGGAGCTCCCAGGACTACTTCCGGAGCCTCCTCCTCTGCGGCTCCCTGCACTACTTCCGGAGTCTCATCCTCTGGGGCTCCCTGCACTACTTCCGGAGTCTCATCCTCCGGGGCTCCCTGGACTACTTCCGGAGTCTCCTCCTCTGGGGCTCCCTGGACTACTTCCGGAGTCTCCTCCTCTGGGGCTCCCTGGACTACTTCCGGAGTCTCCTCCTCTGGGGCTCCCTGGACTACTTCCGGAGTCTCCTCCTCTGGGGCTCCCTGGACTACTTCCGGAGTCTCCTCCTCTGGGGCTCCCTGGACTACTTCCGGAGTCTCCTCCTCTGGGGCTCCCTGGACTACTTCCGGAGTCTCCTCCTCTGGGGCTCCCTGGACTACTTCCGGAGTCTCCTCCTCTGGGGCTCCCTGGACTACTTCCGGAGTCTCCTCCTCTGGGGCTCCCTGGACTACTTCCGGAGTCTCCTCCTCTGGGGCTCCCTGGACTACTTCCGGAGTCTCCTCCTCTGGGGCTCCCTGGACTACTTCCGGAGTCTCCTCCTCTGGGGCTCCCTGGACTACTTCCGGAGTCTCCTCCTCTGGGGCTCCCTGGACTACTTCCGGAGTCTCCTCCTCTGGGGCTCCCTGGACTACTTCCGGAGTCTCCTCCTCTGGGGCTCCCTGGACTACTTCCGGAGTCTCCTCCTCTGGGGCTCCCTGGACTACTTCCGGAGTCTCCTCCTCTGGGGCTCCCTGGACTACTTCCGGAGTCTCCTCCTCTGGGGCTCCCTGGACTACTTCCGGAGTCTCCTCCTCTGGGGCTCCCTGGACTACTTCCGGAGTCTCCTCCTCTGGGGCTCCCTGGACTACTTCCGGAGTCTCCTCCTCTGGGGCTCCCTGGACTACTTCCGGAGTCTCCTCCTCTGGGGCTCCCTGGACTACTTCCGGAGTCTCCTCCTCTGGGGCTCCCTGGACTACTTCCGGAGTCTCCTCCTCTGGGGCTCCCTGGACTACTTCCGGAGTCTCCTCCTCTGGGGCTCCCTGGACTACTTCCGGAGTCTCCTCCTCTGGGGCTCCCTGGACTACTTCCGGAGTCTCCTCCTCTGGGGCTCCCTGGACTACTTCCGGAGTCTCCTCCTCTGGGGCTCCCTGGACTACTTCCGGAGTCTCCTCCTCTGGGGCTCCCTGGACTACTTCCGGAGTCTCCTCCTCTGGGGCTCCCTGGACTACTTCCGGAGTCTCCTCCTCTGGGGCTCCCTGGACTACTTCCGGAGTCTCCTCCTCTGGGGCTCCCTGGACTACTTCCGGAGTCTCCTCCTCTGGGGCTCCCTGGACTACTTCCGGAGTCTCCTCCTCTGGGGCTCCCTGGACTACTTCCGGAGTCTCCTCCTCTGGGGCTCCCTGGACTACTTCTGGAGTCTCATCCTCCAGGGCTCCCTGGACTACTTACGGAGTCTCCCCTCAATATTTCTCACACAGACTTGGAATGGGCCCTGGGTGGGACACCATCTGCAGAATGACATCACTCACCTGATGGCTCCGCCCTCTGCATCCGGTCTGGTGAATCTGATGGTGAAGCCGCTCAGCTCCTCCGATGTGCCGGTCACATGACTCAGGTGTCGTCCGTCCATGTGAGGGGTCAGCGTTCCCTGCCCATCCGTGGCCACGTAGAAGAAGAGGGAGAGGAGCTGTCCCGGGGAGGAGGGGCCCTGTGGGAAGAGAGAGAGGGGAGGAGCCAGTTATATCTTGGGTGACACCCAAAAACAACCCAATCGTGCAGGAGTAGAGTAAGGACGACGCCCCCGCAGTCCCTCTTATAAACAGAAGAAACCGCAGGGTATCAGTCCAACATTTATAAAATGTCAGACACGCCCCTTTACAAAACGATTGCACCCTTCACTGAGTCACTCTGCTCCCTCCACCTATCAGCACGACTCTTGCCTTGATTGGCTCCTGTTCTCCCTTCGATACCCGCAGTTAGTGACAGGTGAAATGTGTCGGAGATTTAGCACCTCCCCCCTCGTACATGAAGATGACCCCCCCTCCCCCTCCCCAGCAGAGGGAGGGAATGGGGGGGCACAGGCTCAGGAAGAGACGTTGGGGTATTACGATGTTGGTGAAACCCTCCCCCACCTACCTGTGACCACAGAGCGCGGACTTCGTGTCTTCATCCCAAAATAAACCTGCGGCCTGTAGGAGCCCCAGAACAGGTCGGGGGAGGAGTCCGGGGAACTGCTGTTTGGCGGCAGGATGGGGGGAGAGGGATGAAGGGTGACAACCTTCACCGCCAGACTCCACTTCCTGTATCCGCTGTACGCAAAGGCCCCGAATCCGATCACACAGGACAAGATGGTCACCAGAACCACGCGGCTCCAATCCCTCTCCGGGGGTGGAGCTCTCCGGGAAGATGGAGGACGCTGCTCAGATCCACCATGACGCCTACGCTCTCGTGTCATCCTACTGCCTGGAGGGAAAGAAGAGTGATAGGTGAATATATACACCCCCCCAGTATATATACACACTCCTGTGTACATTCACACAAC